TTGCGTTCGCACCGGTAACGCGATCAATAAGATAATTGAAGACTTTCTCGACAATGCCGGCGGAAGGGAGCAATTTCGCCATCTCCCTTGTACTTGAGCAAGGTCATTGTTTTCGAGGGGATTCTCATCTCACTCCTAAGCACCGTCGTCGCATCGTTGCTTGTTCCTGTCCTCGTTTAAACGCGTTTAGTCCTCGACCGCGACAGAAACTAAATAAATCGAGGAGAAAACGTACGACTCGGGAATTATAAATCTCGCCTTGCAGAACAAGAGACTGCAATCTTTTCTTTAAAAAACATGGCCGCTTCTCGTTGTTGCAACCGTGAATTCTAATCGACGGGATTTGCGGCGAGTGATGTCGAAACCGATTCCACCTTTATCTCTAACTCCATCGAAGTTGTTAGCAGAAGTTTTACGTGTTCGTAACATCTTCTAATATATAACAATGGACTCAGAAAAACAGCTTTTCAGTTTTTATTGTTTGATCAAATTTGAATACCGTTTAAACGACTGGCAACGCGTTCTAATCTTTCGAGTGCCATTGGTTTTTATGAAGACTTTTGAGAACAAGCAACAGCCAAATCTAAGCAGTGAGGCCAAGATAAGATCGATTTAGAAGTTCCAGCTGCTCTGGCGACTCGCCGACAGTTCTTAAATCTCAAGTGTTTCGGCATTCTAGTCGAGATAAAACTTTTTGACTGTGAATTCCAATACATTTCAAACCAACCGACATTATTCGCAATACGTTCCGTTCGTTAAATGAATATTTCTGTTTCGATCGTTTTCACAATTATTATTTCAATCTCTGCCGTATAAAAACAGAAAATATTCGTGCAAACGTGGGAAAATCAAATCGAAGTTTGAAGTTATATTATTGAAATCAAACAAATAACGCATAACGAACACGAACATTAATAACACTTTTATCAATAACCGAAGAGAAAACCAATAACCAAGTACCGTACTCTGGTATATCCTAAAGTTTCATCCTCAATAAAAGTTTCGTTGAATACAAACTATCGAAAAATAAATTAAATTTCCTATCTCGGATATCGTGAAACTGTAACGACACTCTAGTATTACAACAAATTAAATTCTTGCTCGGAAAACTCGAGAAATCGAGAATGTATGGGGAAAAAAGTTCCACGAAACGAGACTCTACGGTCAATTAATCAACCGTGAAAACCGAACTCGTAGAAAACGAGGAACACCGTTTTGGCAAGGAAACAGACGTCGTTGTCTTCGTCATAATCACTGCATAATTTCGTAATTATCTGACGAGACATCTCGTCGTATAGAAATCGTTTGATTACGGTGAAAAGTAATTGGAACGAGCATAGCTATTCGAGGAATGAGCACGGGATACTCATAGCAGTGACGTGTCTCTCAATATACCGAGATATGCTAATTGTCAGATATTTTAAAGTCTTTTTATCGCCCAAGGAAACATAAAAAATGAAAACAGACAATTATTGGTAAAATGAAAGTCAACGATCTTACTTACTCATTGCCGTATATAATAATTCTTAAGTAAACTTCTTTGGATTACAGATTAGAAGTGATAACTAACAAAAAGAAGGAACCATTTTTTTTCAAGGAACAGTTGTCCCATGAATAAACATATTTTTATCATAAAAGAGGAACAGCTGTTTTTCTCATGAATAACCATCAAGTACACTTTTACATATTCGTAACGTCATGGTCACACTATTCTATGAATATAGTGTGTTCTTGTTGTTCCGACAAACAAGAACTTTCCATAGAATTGTAGTATTAAATTACATTACTTCTTGAATGGAAACTGAAAAAATTAATTATTAAATCAATGTCCGAATATTAGAAGTAGTACATCAAACTATAAAAAAATTTTATAGTTTTCTCTTCTTAGTGAGATATCTTTAATGGCTTTTTAATAATTTATACTCCACTGTAGGAACCGTTCCAAATACTTCATACTCCTCGTAACTGTTCAACTAATGGACCGACCGGTACGAATCATCGGCGCAGCGCGTGCACAGAGCAATACGATCACTCGGAGTCTATATAGGCGTAACGGTATCCTCGGTATTTTAGAGACATTTATCAGTACAAATTAAAGCCCGAAATTTCGGTTCCGTTAGGAAAGCAAATCCCAGAGAACGGTACAGCAATTCCCTGATAAAAGATAGTGGATATCTTGGACGACAAAGTAATGTTTGCCCCCCTTCTGAATGACTGTATATACAATTAGTTTCGGTATTGCATACATACAGGTACATGACAACATGTAATACCCGTCATGTTTGGTTAAATCTCAACTTGAAACAGTAATATATCTGACTAAATTAGGCCTGGTTGCCATGGTATATCGCGGCGTTTCTCAAACATTTCACATTGTGGACCTAAAAGAAACGTAACTCATCTAAATTTAAGAATTTCTTAAATATTGGTACATACCTATAATCAATTTAATTTGCTTAAAATTAAAGATCTGATAACATAATTTTATTTAGGTGAGCTATCGGATAAAATACAGGTTTAACATTTTGTTTAAAGCTAATGGCATCGCAGACAAGTATTAAATCGAAGAAAAGTACGACAGTCTTGTATTACAACCCTAATTTTTTCTTGGGACCAGTATTTTTTTTCATCGGGACCAGTATTAAGTCACAGTTTGGGAAATGCCGGTCTGTAGGACCGGTTAAGTCTGTTTAGAACAGGTGCTAGGTTTACTTAATTCATTTCACAGGTTCGTGACGCTATAAGTAAACGCCATTTTAATAATTCAAGTAATGGGGTACATTAAATGTCAGTGGATAATTTGGACAATGAAATAATGGCTGTACTCTGACAAAATTATGGGGTCCTGTTGTATCTAAGTTAGATCTGGTCGGGACATTCAAGGACCGGTTAAGTCACTTAGAACCAGATGTTAGGTCTGTATAATTAATCCTGCAGGTTCATAATAACGCGACTAAACTCCATTTTAGCAACTGGAGTAATAGTGTCGAAAAAATACCATTAAAATTCGAGACAAAATGTAACTTTAGCAACATTTAAAAACTTCCTCTGCCTGCACAGTTACTAACTTAGCTAATTTAACACGTTCAAACGTAAGTCAAACAGATAGATAGAACTATGAACTTATTAAATTAACAGTTATTCAATCACTTCTGGTGTAGACAATTCCAATCTCTTATTAATTATACTTTATATAGTCTAACGTAAGTAATCTTTAATACTGAAAATTAGAATTTAATATCAAAACAGAATTACATATTCATATTTGTTCCAGTATCCTTGAAAAGGTCAAATCCAATAATAAAATTGACAAGCATAGAATGTATTCATTGCAGAAACCATCTAGAAGAATGAATGAAACAGGGTCTGGTAAGACCCAGACACAGCTAATAGTTTATTCGTCAAAAAACGCCAACATTCTACGAGTTTAATGGACGCTTTTGCTCGAACAGTTTAACAAGCGCGCCCGGAAGACCGCGGTGCGTCGATTATTACGTACGAACAGAGTGCGGCTACACGTGCGTAAACGTGTGTGGACGGTAGAAGTGAAAAGCGACCGGGTCACGACATTCGATATCAAGAGTAATTACGTGCTCGATCGATTCGAGATGTTTACGTTTAGCGTCGCTGATCGCGGTAATGCGTTCGCAACCAGAATGCCTATGTAGCAATTTATTTTCTTCTTCTGTTTTTTTTCTCTTTCTAAAACGTATTACCTAGTATGATTCACGTATCGTGCAGTCATGCGATCGTAGGGGCCTTTGATTCATTCCTACACCTACTGATTCATTTGTGCTAGAATGACGAGCACACATTCAAAGAAAAAATTATTTATTCATTCATTATTCCTTCACGTTCAATCGACAACAACATATAAATGATTTATTTTTCGTATGTCTGACAATGAGTAACGTTTGAGTAATCGGAACGAATTGGATAGTTCCGTTGAATGATGATGAGGGACAATTACTTTCTTTCGAAAAGTAGACTATATCGGAAGAATCAACAGATCTATTTAAAATTGGCGTCAAATAAACTGATATTCAATATAATTTGGAAAATACATTTTATGCTGACTGAAAACTGATCAACATAAATAAATAGACTTTCTTAACTAATCTAAGAATTTATATTAAAATAATCAAGCTAACAACAACCTCAATTTAGTCCATCTTTTGACTACCGCATTAAACTAACAGCCCACAGGAAATTGCTCCCGCACACGAACATCCACTGTATCTATCCAATTATTTATAACCCCACTTTCCTACAACAATACAAACAATTTACACCCCTTAAATTGCCCGAAATCGACTAGAATTTTCCCCAAGGATTGCCCCTGTTCACATGTTCCCCGTACGCAGTCCAATTGAAATCGAGCCCTTTCAAACAGGTTTATAAATCGTGCGTAATCAATGGCCGATTCTCATCGGGGCACACGTACAGAAACGCCGTTGAATATTACGCAGGTCCTGCGGCAGTTTTCAATGAAGACTCAAGACAGGTAAGAAAAAAAAAAGTAAAGAGTAAACTGACTGCAAGGGCGGCGACACCCGGCATAGTCCCCACGAGGGTGGGTTTCCACGAAAGCGTGCTGATAAAACCGGCGATCGATAAGGAAGCCGGGGTTGCACGTAGTAATACGCGCGACATCGATGCAATACCATAGTAACGAGCATCCGTGCCCCATGGCGGGTAGGTTCAAAGCATTTGTACTTCAAAATTTCGAAAATCGAAAGTGAGGTTAACCTCTTGGGTTCGTTTCAAATTAAAACTCCAAATCGTTCATATATTACAATTACAACAGAATATTAAAAAACGAAACTGATTAAAAATTTATATTGTCTTTCATTATATCGTATGCCCTTATATATCAACGTATACTCCATCTAATACAAAGATTAGCCATGTCAAAGTCTGACTCGGGTTCGATCCGACCCACGAGTCAAACGTGCCAGTGACACTCGTGTACTGGATCCTTAAGAGGTAAAAGGACTCACCGCCTGAAATTGTTCCAGCAACTCCTGCCGGTCGTCGATCGCAGTGGCCATGTTGCTCGAATATATAATCCTTTAGTCGTTCCTTTCTCCACAGTCCCTGCGCTGCCCTTCACCCTTTTCTTCTTTCTCTCTTCCTCTCTTTCTCTCTGTAGCTGCCCTGTCCTTCTCCCTCTCGCTGTCTGGTCCTCCTCCCTTTTCGGTACTAAGAGAGCCTAAGCAATGCGTGTGTCCTCGCGAAACGGTAGGTCGTCACAGGGAACGGCGAAACCCCAAGAGGACACGGAGTCGATTGTGTTCTTCTCACCGGGTACACGCGGGACAATTAGAGTAACTCGAGTTGTACTCGACACCTCGCGTACGCGTTCTATGGTACACGACGCGGTCACGAAAAACAGCCAGCCAGACACCCCGCCAGAACGTGTACCACTGTCACGGAGTCGCATCGAACACTGAGCCGCCGGGCGCCGAACGGAGCGCCCGCCAGCCCGGCGATCGTGCACGAAAACGGCCGAACCGACACGAAGGGACCGCTCCACTGACACCTTGGGACAGATCCGTACGACTCGTCGAAAAACATGAAATGTTCCACGAAATTATGATTTCGTATTATCCTCTGAGATCGTGAATTTACTTTTAATACTTGATATCATTCATATGTGGCTCCTTATAAAAATTATAGAGGTATATATTTTCGTCGGCACTTTATCTACCGATGGGGTTGTCCAATAGTACTTTAAAGATCAACGGTGAAGGACCGTCGATTCTGTTCTCAAATCGTTACTGCACTGATTTACATCCTTCTTTTGTTGTTTCGCAACAATTGTACCTCAAATTTTCCCTTTACTGGAAAAACTCGACATTTTCAAAAAACTCGTGTTTCAATTGAACTTTTTTTGATATTGATTTTGTGTGACATAAGGATGACAAACTTTTTTCAATATTGATGCACAGACATACTATGAACCACGAAAAATTTATATATCCTGAATTTTTCTATTTCTAGACTTTTTACGGTCGGATAACGAACGTTTCACGTTTGGTGGAATACGCCACAATGGAAAGGGACAAGAGGTTCCATTATTTGGCGCTGTTCCCCAGCCAACTGTCAGAGCGTTACACTTTTGAGGACCTGAGGGCGGAAGTTGTCAAGTTCGACTCATGTTGGGTCGAACAGAAGGCTCTCTGCGGATGATCTTATTCAACCCGTCACGAAGTCTCGTTTTACGAAGGAAAATCGTGGACCATGCTTCATCTTACTCCTTCTATGCCACCCTGTTATTAAGTCTAGTCTTTAAGCCAAAAATAGACAGTATTTTTAATTAAAAAAAAAAGACTTTAGAATAAAATAATAAAAATGAAGGGCTTCTTGTTTTTTATCGCACCTAGATCATTCTAGCAAACTAATATTGCGAATGAATTCTTATAAATTGATTTGGACACAATATCTGTAATTTGAATGAAAGTATATTCATCTCTCGTTTGCATAGACAGACAAATGTCAAATTATATTTTCATTTTCTTCGCGGAGATTGAAAATTACGAATATTCTGATGACGTTGTTTTAAAGAAATATAAATGAATTATTTTGAATGGTCAACAGTATAGAATATACTTTAAATACTTAACAGGATAAGAAGGGTTTGCGTTTCAGGTCATATCGTATCTGAAACCGTTTGCGCACGCGTGACAGCATACAAACGTCTTGCACCATAAAATTGCAGAACGCAGAGTGAAATATGACTTCCGTGTACAGGAAATTTGTGTACGATCATCCGCGCAATAAAGCCAGTTACCTTAAGCGAAGATAACTGATCTCATTGGATTTAGCAATACGCAATGCAATTTACATTAACCGTCCGAGATCCGACTCTGTTCGTCTATAAAAGAAAAAGACTGGCTTTATAATGCATACTTCGTCCTAAAAGAAATCATGTTATTTTATCTTTGAAAACTGAACTTATAAAGAATTTGAAAAAAAACTATGAATACAGAAGAAGTGATGCTCATGAAAGTAATGTTGCACGACTTCTCATTTGACTTGAGTCACCATGTTTTTTCGAATGTTCCGACGACTTTTGTTTGCTTTCTTTACGAACGATAAGACCTACTCTAGTCACCAAAGCTAAGAGTACACACGGATGTGTAATTGTAATTGATTACGTAAATAATTGCGGTGACAACTGGAACCACATTGTTATACAGATTCAAAAATTATTTTCTCCAGAACACCAACAATAGGAAAACTGTACAAGAAGAAAAGAAAAATTGCAAGAACAAAAACTTTCACGGACCGCTGCCTATTGTCATTTACACTCCAAGGTAATTATCTCAAGCAAAGATAATTAATTTTTATGAGACACACCCATAGGAACGTCATTCCGCGCGTCGCGAAGTTACCAAAGCTAAACAAACAAAGAAAAATGCTACACGTTCGATCGAGAGAATGCCTTTGTTTTCGTTGAGCTTACTTTTAAAGGCACGTTTGTTTGTCATTCTCGCGACTAATTTTATCATCGAAGAAGATAGTAGTGTTACGATTTCACTTCGATGCAATCGAATACTTAAACGAAACCAGCAGACAAAGAATTTAATAAATTTGGGAGGAAACTGTTAATCAACCCATCCCCCCTCCTCGATCGAGTTAAACCGCGATTGTAAAGTATAGTGGCGGAGGTGAGCACTAATTGAAAGCGTGCAAATCGCGAAGAAGTGAAAAGAACTCGTTTAAATGGAAGGGATGTTGCGTGTGGGACGAACGGCGACCGTGATTTTTCGCTGAAATGAGCAACGAAGTCCCGCAGCGGTGAATCATTTTTTCTCCGATTTGCGTACGAGACTGATTTATACACCATCAAATAAGAAACTCTAGTCGAATCATACTGACGAATCCCGTTTCCATCTTCGATTTGAAGGTGAAATGCGTCGACGAAGTGACCGATCGGATATAAACAAATACGTCGCACATTTTCCGCATATATTACGACTTTATCGAGTTAAATCTGCAATGTTGCTATGTAACATTCAATCAAACCAACGGTTACATTTTCATCAATTACGTGAATCGTATTCAAGAGTTAAAGTAATTGTACGTGAGGACAGATTCTTGCCTAGATTAAAACGAATGAAAAACAAATCTTTTTGACATTGAAGCAGAGAGTTACCAGCGATAAGAATAATCGAAATGATGTGATGTAATAACACTTTATGCAAAAACGAAGATAGAGAGATTGAGATATGAAATTCTTCACAGTTCGAGCTTAAGGCTGTCCATTCAGGCTCGATATAAAGATGAATATCATTCCCGCGTTCCAATTTCTCTTTCCCTCTGTCGTCTGAGATGTCGGTTTCCATTTTTTTTCCTATCTTTTTTTCGCCAACAGCCCTGTCCTACGCAAACACGAAAATCTTCTAGCGATCCGGCTCGCCCGACTTCCCGTTCTGCGTCATATAAACGAGAAATTCATGTCTCCCCCAACTTTTCATGTTCCGCCGCTCTTTATTGACATTCTATCTCTCCCACCGGTCACACGGAACACGCTTCCACGGGCATCGACCCCTTCTAAATAATGTTACATCACGGGAGACGAGTCACGGATCGACTTGTTAGAACTCCTTGGCTTCTGGGAGGGCTGGTTTTCCCGGCGCCTCGTTTCCATCCACCTGGAAGGCTCGCGGCTTCGAGTATTCGGAATATATTCCGACCGACTGAAATCGAGGACTATTCTAATATATGGAGCTTCGAATAATCTTTTTGAATAATGGTTTCACCAGAATTTTATGCAGATGCCCAACTCATTGAAATCAAAACGATTCTTTTCTGATGTTTGCTGATATTCCACGGAAATGTTGAATATTCAAAAAAAGAAGTTTCAAATAGTTTACATTCTCTAGAATTTTATAAAGATGTCTAACTGGTTGGGATAGAAACAATCCTTTTCTTTATTGATAGTCAACAGAAATATGTAATATTTGGAGGCGAAAGTACCATTCTCACTTATAAATTGATAATATCAACGTTTCACGATGTGGATTAGTGTTAATCGCGAGGAATTTATGTTTTCAATCAGTTCTATTTAATCTTTGTATTTTCTTATTCATTATTATTTTAAAAAAGAATAAGAAAAACTAAAAAAATTATTATTGAATTATATTAAAATCATTGTGTTGACTGACATTGTTTTGATTTGTAATTCTTCAAGAAAAAAATCAGGAGAATGTTAAAAGAACATTGCGCATCTTCCACAGTATTGAATGTACATGTACATACACATATACATTGAATATATTTCATCGGGAAATCAACGTGATATAATCTTACAAATAAGGGCTACGTTAACGCTACTTAGCCTTTAAGTTACATTTACTGTGCATAAATATTCGTCCGTCTACAATAATTCGCGTGTGAAGGAAATTAAACTATAGCTTCGTATAATGAAATAATTAGTTCACACGATGCGACGATGATGGCGGAAGGTTTCCTCGTTGACAAATGACACAAACAAACTGACCCTGAAGGGTTGGGTTTGCGGAGCATAAAAACGAAACCAAAAGGAACACGAATGAACAAGGGTATTACAAATGATGAAATCTTCGACTACACGAATTTGTGGCGAAATTTGAAAGACCATTTTGCGAGGCAAGCTTTGGAAGTAAAGTTAAATTTCATTTTTTGAAAACGCTTCTGCACAGATTTTTAAGGGTATCACACAGAAAGGAAAACAAACTGAAACTTGAAAAGATCGTTAAAATGATCAGCATTTTGTAATAGAAGTTAAATTAATCTTTCAGTTAAATCGCAAAGTACAATAAAAGTGAACGGTTTATTTCGCTCCAAGTAGAAAAAGAGACATAAACCTGAATTTGACCGATTTTGTAAAAAGACAAAACTCGCGCAATAATACCGCGGCGGCAAAAACACTAATTCATAAATACAATTGAGATAAAGTAATTTCGATCTGTATCACAAGAGAGAAATCTCAAACGAAATCGTTATCAAATAAATGGGGAAACAAGAAAGACAACTACTAACAATTTTCCCTTTAAAGGATACGCGTATCCGTAGAACTAAAAAAAAACAAACTTAAAAAGAACGATAGCATCAACAACGCTCGCAACGTAAAGCTTCGATACTTAAAAAAATTCATTAACCTCTAATCACAATGTTTGATTTACAAAAGAAAAGTACGATTCGGTCGAATATGTATAATACTTTTTTTCTTCGATGTTATACACTATTTCGTTCAGATCCAGTGAAGCGTTTGATCAGTCCTAGGTACATGGTCACGTGAACGTTTCTTTGAAAGGAACAAGAAAATTAACGTTTCTTCTTTTCTTAGTTTAAATATAGTCCTCGTCTATATACTATTCACTTATTTACTCGAAAGTGGAAAAATGTCGGGTCATAGAGGGTTGATACTACTTCGTGGCTGTTACAAAGAAGTCTAACGCAACAAACGAACATCGTACGAGGATCGCGAATAGACTGCGAATATTTGTGCCAATGATTAAATCAAATAGAACAAACATTTGAACCATTCATTTGCCAAAGTGGTTAACTCCACAAAATGAAAAGTAGAAAAATTTGATGGAATTATGTACATAAAGAACCGATCAAGTATTGCTAACATTTGACAGTGGAGTTAGTCACTTCAACCAGTGAACTAATTTCTTACGTCTATGGAGAATACGTAAAGGTACAAATAAAATCGAAATTTGTCACATCGGTGTCACAGTTTTCATTTCATTGGCTTTTGCAACTATCGATAACCCTCGAGCGCGCAACATCTGCAATTTAACAGTTAGTGTAACACCTTGAGAACCCGAACCGAACGGTTGCCTTCATTTTATCCAAACAGGTGATCGGTATTCAAGATAGTACACCGCAGTGCGGTTTTATGATGAAATACACTGCGAGGTAGTAAACTAAATGGAGCCGTAACAAGAAGTTTGTGTTCAGTGGTCTACAAAGTATATCGTGATAATGGAATATGACACCTATAGTCGCTGCTGCAAGTAAATTAGAGCTTCTCTCGAACTGTTATCAAAAATCAATTCGAACAAGTTACTACTGACTCTATAAACACGTTCAGTCGATTTATTATTCAGCGTCATAGATAAACATCTGGAAATTTTAATAATGATAAACTACAATGAATCACTATCTTATTTTTCGAGGAGACTGTTGCTCAGTACCGTGTAAAACATTAGTCTGCACCTCTCTAATCTAGCTTCTCATTCAGACCAGTCTTAACAATCCTTCAAATGTTGAAGACAATTCTATGTTAGAGGGTTCTTATCTTACAAAAGAAGCTTTTGTGCAGGATTCCACTGAGATTACTATCTCGCTATATCATTAGCTTCAAAAATACAATAATGCTTCAGAAGATTCGAGTATTTACATGGTTGTAAAATTGTTTCAGCCCATTAACACAGTTCACGGTCTGTTTTGTGTTTAGAGTAACTTTAAACGTACAGTGAATACTTAAAAAAGTGCTTCTTTCAACAAATAAATAGAAATAAAGTAATTTCTATGAGCGTAGCTGCTAAAAAAGTGATAAGACAAGGGGTTAAGACTTAAAAAGTCTATGGGAATATTTAATGTACACATATCTTTTCAAAAATAAAATAGAATCAATACTTTTCGAATCTTATATAGCATTACCGTACAATTGTCGGTAATAGCTAAAAACATGAACGATCACGCAGTTCAGATCTTCCTCGAGTTATATTAATCACAATGTATTTTTAATGATAGTGTGCCTCGTGGATTTTACTTCCCTATACATCATACCTTCTTCTTCCTCTTTTTTCCCCTTTTTTTACATTTTACAGACCGCTTAATTACAAAATAATTCTAAGTACCTTGTATAAAATACACATAAATATATATGTGTATGTGTATATATAATATGTATAGATCTAAAACAGAACAAACTAAATGTATAATTCGCCTAAGCAAATGCGGCGGAAACACTATCGTTAGAAATTCACTGTATTCCCGCGTATCTGTACAAAAATATATGTGTATGCAACACATAATGTCTTGTCGATTCGTTAACCGATCGATCTTACAATTCATGTCTTTTTTTAAGGTACAGGCTCTATCAATGGAACTTACAGAGATATTTGATCAATAAAATTTAATTTGTAATAATCACCGTACAGTTCTACGATTACGTTGAAACAACTGATAAATTTCGAGTCATTTTGCAAGTCACGGTTTTGTTAAATTTGAAATACATAACGAAACCTTCATATGAATAATCAGTCTTCTGTTTGTCGAAATAATTTTGATACAGAGCGATTGTATATGCACATTATCATGAATAAATGGAGCATCTCTTAAATCAGAAATAAGATGATGATTTTATTAATCATTGTTAACCCCTTGCCTTATTGGTGAGGACTTCCAGAAAAATTTAATAAATATGAATATTATTCATTTTTTTAAATATTGAAATTTTAAAATAAATACAGATTCGTAATGGTCACAGAATTTTTTTTCTTCTTGACACAACTATCAACGGTCAAGTAATTTTAATGTTAATGTAGTGCACAATATGTGCGTTCACAGTGTGCGTTGATATGCGAAAAACGATAATAATCTGAAGAAACGTGAATAAAAGTTTTATTTTACATTTACCCCTAAAACTCGAAGGAATATCTATCCACTGAAAATTAAAGTTTATTTAGTCGCTTCTAATTGATATTGCATTAAACATTTTAATCTAGTGTTCCATTTCTAGTATTATCTAACATTTTGCTGTTTATATAGCTTCAGAAAACTGAACAAAGACAAACCGCTTTACAAATTTAATAGTGTTGTATAAAATCAATTTATAATACTTGAAGTGAACTGTCACCTTTGTAAGCAGTTGTGTATTCCTAAAAAAAAAGAGAAAGAAACGGAATCTGTCGTGATTTGTAATTATATGTATTGAAACAACCACAGAACTGGTTTTAAAAAAATGTACTTTTACAACGTGGGTGTCCACAAAAATAATTTAAAATTCTGTGAACCAGAACAAAACGCAGACTTATGAAATGAACTGATATTTTTAATAACACCGCTTCATCTATGCAGATCGAACACACGCAAAACATTATTTGCGATCAATTGGGTTAGCCAAAAGATTTTTCTCGTTTGTTCTCAACATGATGTTGACATTATATGACACAAAAATAAATACTATAAATAAATAAATACATTGAAAAATGATAAAAGACTGTCACGAATAAAGTTAACAATATATTTCTATATATTAATACATAATATATCTTGAACTTAATAAAATGAAGCCAAAAAAAAAGAAACGAGAAAACTTCTCGACCAACTCAATGCAATTCACAATTTTATAAAGCAACTAGCTTGTTGACAGATCTCATTGTTACTAAATGCAGACTGCGGATTTGATGTAATTACAGACTATTTGGATGTACGACATAGATGTGATAAAATGAAGAATCAAACAACTGTTAATGATGTATTCATTTTATTTCAAACTTAATGAAAACCTTAGGCGGAACAAGTCACCTACTTTTCAGGTGCCACCTGAGAAGATTGATTTACAAAAGTTCGAATTTAAATAAACATCCACAGTCTCTTAGAGCATAATACGACTGTATATCTCCGGTCATTGTTAGTCGATGGGCAAAGTCTGCGTCGATGAAGCGGTACCGATGAAAATATAAGAATGAAAAAAGATATCAGAGTGATTTCAACGTAACGCTCTGGCTGGTACGTTCCAGATCATTTGAAATACGCTACGCGTCGCGTGACACGTATTCATAGAGCTTTAAGTTCGCGTGGAAACTCAATGATCGATATCTCGGTCTCTCGGTAACGAGTAATTACACAAAGTTTCCGGCATCGCCCACCTCCTTCGCCGATCGATCCTAGGATAAAAATTTCATTATTCTCTATTCAATCTTTTATACACAATGCACCCTTGCATTATCGTGCACAGAATCTACACAGGTAGATAGAGACACGCACATAATACATTTGTACCGGATGGTAAAACGAATCGTGTTCATTTTTTACGTTTGTTTGAAAAAAGAAAAGAAAAAGAAAAAGAAAAAAGAAGAGAAACTAAAACTTCAGTTCAATAATCACATTAAAAAATAACTAGAAGTTCGATTATCAACTATCATACGAAGCATGGTTTTGTACCAGAGTCAACATCGAATTACACAAATTCTAATAATTTACATCAATTATAGCGATGTACACCTCCCTTTGTTTCTTCCTTTCTCTACGGTATCGCTTTATAAGAGAATGAGATCCATAATTCGCGATGCTTACGACACATTTATAAAATTTCTTTTATTACGGAATATACTTTAATCGTTAGAGTAAGTTATCTTTCTGTAACTCCCTTTTTCTCGCTCGTTCTCTCCCTCACTTTCTCTCTCTCTCTTTCTCTCTCTCTCTCTCTCTCTCTCTCTCTCTCTCTCTCTCTCCCTCACAGTTTGTTATAGTTACAACGATCTCGT